TCTTTACTCCTAAATACTTTATTTTACTGTGTATTTCTTAAGAACAGATCACTTTCTTATATACTCCCCCCCCCCCCCAGTACAGTGATTCAAATCAGGAAATGAACATTGATTTAATACTAATAGCTAACCTATACAGGCAGTCCTTTCCGACCGGGGGAGCCTTTTCCTATATTCCCTTCACTTCCTGGTGAATTTTCAGTCAATTTCTGTCTGGTTAGCAAACTGGTGGCTCTCCCCTCTTGTCCCTTCTTCCCACCTCCACCCTCTCCCCCTTAGGAAACAGGGTTTTCCAGCAAGGAGACTTGCTAGTAACAGATGGGACATTGTCATGTTCATCTTCAAGCACCGGACTGTTTAACGTCCACACCAAACGCAGGACGGAGTCAACCCCTAACACGGACTCCAGGAGTGGGCAGGCGCCAGCACCGATGGACACGCCCCCTAATGGTGTTTGCTTTGCCCCTGTGTAAACGGGAAGGATCTGCCCTTTGCTTCTCTGTTGCTTTTTTCTACTCCAAAGAGAAAGCACATTTCCACTCTGCTCAGGCATAAAGAGCACCTGACAACTGACTTCTCACCTGTGAGCTAGCTGTGGTCCAAGGGGGACAGGGAAAGCAGATAGTCCGCCAGCTTTTAGCTCAATCTGACTCTTTTGGAGTGTTTTTCCCATTTGCATCCACGGATCACGCAGGTAATGGGTGTTCCTTTTTGCACCCAGCAATGGGAGGACGCCTTCCTAAAAGCAAGATATAGATGTGGGGGTGACATGGAAAGAGAAAGAAATTGGATTTGCTATTAGGAATCATCAGATAAAGACGAATCATTGTAGATAGGGCAGGCAGCGCTCGGCTGTAAATACGTTAGTTCCCACCCCTTTCATCAGCCGTCACACAGCCTTGGACGCTGGAGCTGGTCTCACTGGGAGAAGGAATGTCGCTGGGGAAGGAGAACAGGGGTGAGGTGAGCGGGCAGACCCTGTAACCAGGCAGAGGCCGTGCGCACTGAGCTTGGGAGAGGCTCAGAGCATGGCCCTTGGGCACGGAGCCAGGTCTGCAGGAAGCCCAGGTGGTGTGCCCTAGAGGGGGAAGAGGGAGGAGAAGCCAAACTGGAAATTTGATCCCAAAAGGGGACAGTCATTGAAACATCCTTCACAATTAGGTGGTTTTGAAGGAAAATATAGATCCTGTGGTTTTCCTGAGGGAGTGAAAGGGGGTCTTAACAGGTGATGATGTGTAAATTCTGTAAGAAACGGAGGTGCTGGCTCTCTCGTTGGGCCGTTAAATCTCAGCAGTCATTGCATCTCTGTGCACGTTGCTTATGTGGCCACGGCCACCGCAGCAGAGGGTGGGACAGACCCAGCCTGGCCAGGGCTCCCCAAGGTGGACCCCAGTCAGTCTCCGCGTCGCTGGGAACACAGGGTGTCACTCAAGACGTGCCTCTGTCTTCCTTCCTTCCTCCCTCTCAGAAGAAACCTTCCCCTGGACAACTCTTAAACTCACCGTCCTAAAGTTGACCTCCCTGACGTTTTTCAGTATGTTATTCTCTTCCATGGTCTGCCCTCTCTCAAACACGTAAAAACCTTTCTTTTTTTCTTTTTCTTTGAGGTTTTCTTATTTTGTTTGTTTGTTTGTTCTGTGGCCCCCTTTCCTGGCTAATATTTTTTTTTTAATAGAGACCAAGATAAACAAAGATAGTGCTAGCATGGATGGGCAGGATTTTAGAGCAGGGTGTGGACGGGAAGGGGTGAGAGGGGAGGACAGGAGTTGGTGGAGGACAGGAGGTGCATGTGGTACTTTTCATGCCATTTGTCCAGCTAATCCTATATAATAAAGAGGTAATATGCAAATTGACCATCACTCCAATACAAGATGGCTGCCCCCATGTGGTCAAAGATGGCCATCAGGGGAGGGCAGTTGGGAGGGACCAGGCCTGCAGGGGAGGGCAGTTGGGGGATCAGGCCTGAAGGGGAGGACAGTTGGGGGGACCAGGCCTGCAGGGGAGGAGAGTTGGGGTGGGGGGGAACCCAGGCCTGCAGAGGAGGGCAGTTGGGGGCGACCAGGCCTGCAGGGGAAGGCAGTTGGGGGTGACCAGGCCTGCAGGGGAGAACAGTTGGGGGTGACCCAGGCTGGCAGAAGAGGACAGTTGGGGGCAACCAGGCCTGCAGGGGAAGGCAGTGGGGGGCAACCAGGCCTGCAGGGGAAGGCAGTGGGGGGCAACCAGGCCTGCAGGGGAAGGCAGTGGGGGGCAACCAGGCCTGCAGGGGAAGGCAGTGGGGGGCAACCAGGCCTGCAGGGGAAGGCAGTGGGGGGCAACCAGGCCTGCAGGGGAAGGCAGTGGGGGGCAACCAGGCCTGCAGGGGAAGGCAGTGGGGGGCAACCAGGCCTGCAGGGGAAGGCAGTGGGGGGCAACCAGGCCTGCAGGGGAAGGCAGTGGGGGGCAACCAGGCCTGCAGGGGAAGGCAGTGGGGGGCAACCAGGCCTGCAGGGGAAGGCAGTGGGGGGCAACCAGGCCTGCAGGGGAAGGCAGTGGGGGGCAACCAGGCCTGCAGGGGAAGGCAGTGGGGGGCAACCAGGCCTGCAGGGGAAGGCAGTGGGGGGCAACCAGGCCTGCAGGGGAAGGCAGTGGGGGGCAACCAGGCCTGCAGGGGAAGGCAGTGGGGGGCAACCAGGCCTGCAGGGGAAGGCAGTGGGGGGCAACCAGGCCTGCAGGGGAAGGCAGTTGGGGGCAACCAGGCCTGCAAGGGAGGGCAGTTGGGATTGACCAGGCTGGCAGGGGAGGGCAGTTGGGGCAATCGGACCAGCAGGGGAACAGTTAGGCGTTGATCAGGCTGGCAGAGGAGTGGTTAGGGGGTGATCAGGCTGGCAGGCAGAAGCGGTTAGGGGCAATCAGGCAGGCAGGCAGGCGAGAGGTTGGGAGCCAGCAGTCCTGGATTGTGAGAGGGATGTCCCCCCAGGGGTCCCAGATTGGAGAGGTTGCAGGCCAAGCTGAGGGACACACCCTCAGTGCACGAATTTCATGCACTGGGCCTCTAGTGTTAATTATACTGGGCCTCTAGTATATGAAATATTAGCAGAAAATGGGCATGAAGGGGGAGCAGAGGCCGGAAACAAAACCCTGGGGTAATTTAACTGAGAGCCTTGAAGGAGGAAAAGCTTGTACACACGTATTCACTGGCTAAGCTCCCAGTGATTTCTCTGCCTGTTGATCCTCTGTTGCACTTGGGGTTTGTGTCTTTCAGTTGGTGCCACATTGGTAGAAATATACCATTTGCCTCTTATGCCAGAAACAAGCCTTACTTGATACTGTTAAGGCTGTTGTGCTTATGTGTATGTCATGGCTAGATTACATCTTCCTTAGGTGGAAGGCCTCCATCTTTTTTTTTTTTTTAAGCATGCTGTATCCCAACAGAGCTGAATAATAAGCATATGCTTAGTATGAATATTCACTTGTATGCTCCCCAGCAACACTATGTGCTAGTATATTGTTATCCCCATTCACAGATGAAATAGGCCCTAAGTCACAAGCCAGTAAGAGGCAGAGCTGGGCTCTGAACCAGGTAAGCCAGGCCACTCTCCCCATCTCAAATCTGTGATCACATCCGCAAAGATTTGTTTGTTTGGTTGGTTGGTTTTGTTCATATGAGGTAACATTCACAAGTTGCAGAGGGTAGAATGTGGCTGTTTTGGGGGGTGGGGCATTTTTAGCCTCCATGGGAGGTTATTTGTGGATTTGATTTATCAGTGTCAACCTAGTCCCTTGTAACCAGCCAGCCAGTCTGTACTATTTAGAAAACACCAGGAGTTTTCTCTGTGGGTAAAGGCTTGTGAAGCAGCATCGTGGGAAATTCTTCCATGACTGGAGGAAGGAGAGAGACCAGGGGAGGCAGTAGCCCCATCAACAGCGAGGGATCTCTCTCTGTTTCAAGCGCACGCGTCCTGTGGACACAGAGGGACGGGGGCTTTAGCCTGTCTTTGAGAAGGTCGCAAATATTAGAAATGGAGAATGACTCAAAGGAAAGACCAGAACAACGTAGTCTGTTTCCCATGCAGAGAAGGTTTTATTCAGAGGGCAATTTGCAGGGGAAAAAATGCCACCTTGGGAAAAGGCAGGGAGACAGTGGGCAGGTGAGAAATGAAAGAAGCACAGACTGAGTCCACCTGCCACCAGTAAGCCCACTTGAACTTCAAGAATGGAGTCCAGCCATAGCTGGTTTGGTTCAGTGGATGGTGCATCGGCCTGCGGACTGAAGGGTCCCGGGTTCGATTCCGGTCAAGGGCATGTACCTTGGTTCCGGGCACATCCTCGGTGGGAGGTGTGCAGGAGGCAGCTGATCGATGTTTCTAGCTCTCTATCTCTCTCCCTTCCTCTCTGTAAAAAAATTAATAAAATATATTTTAAAAAAAAGAATGGAGTCCACGAATTGTGGCCAGAATCAGCCCAGCGATGGGAAGGGCAGAGCAGGAGCAGGTGCATCAGGTGAAGCTGGTGATGATGACCTGGCTCTCACCTCCTCGGGTCTCTAACGTGAAACACGTGGGTCAGCTGCCTCATCCTGAAGTCCTTGAATACTTGAGTAGCTAATCCCGGCATAGACACCTCCCCTCTCTCTGACACCTCCTGCTGCCCCTGGTTAGGCTCCCGTGTCCCCCAAAGAAGGCAGTGGAATACAAAACGCACAGATCCTTTCAGTCCTGCCCTTCTCTCCCCAGCGTTCTTCAACCAGTATTTCCTCATTTGCAAAATGCAAATGACATACGGAACTCCCAGGGTGGGGGAAAGGGTCTGGCACAGAGACAAGTATCAATAAATGTTTGAGAGCTCGGAATCGGTGATATCCAATACATATAGGCATTCCAGTGCCTCCCTGGCCCACATGTTATCTTTCTGTCAAAAACTGACTCCACTAACTTGTGAGTAGCTAGGAAAGAAAAAGCAAGCCTAATTGATATTAGAATGTTATTCACTGTGTTTTCTCCCTTTTATGTTTTCTTTTCCAGATGATAACAAAAAATAATCCAGATGGGGTGCAGGTGCTGTAAAATGATACAAAGGTAAAGTTGGGGGGGAAATACCTCATTCGAATGGAGGAATTCACGATTTCCATGGAGGCCCTCTTAAAGACCCTGCGTTGATTCTGCATTTATCTCGTTGGGGCTTGACCAGCATTGCCAAGAAATTAAGAATTTGGAATTGCTTTGATGTCATTTAAGAGCACATGTGGCCTAGATATTAAAACCTTTTTTTGTTGTTGTTCCCTTCTCAGAGATGTTGGGGACTCCGTCATTCTCTGAGACTGAATTTGGTTTGGGCTGAATTTACATTTCTCCAGGGAGTAATGCAAAGCAAAGCTTCAGTTTTGGAGGGTGCCTGCAATGGCATCACTGAAAATAAATCGCCCTAGTCACATATGTGCTTTTAATTTTTTCCAGATTCTATCCCAGAATGTGGGTAATAAGAACAGAATTCTCTGTAAAACAAAGGGGAAAAAATTAACTAATGATTTTGCTTCCTTAACAAACAAATTTATGTGTTATTATAGTTCTATTCCATATCTATCTACATATACATATGTATTTTTATCCATATGTAAGTATATACACCACACATACATATGTAAATGTTACTCCACTGTAATCATAATGTGATGTTACACTTTACCAACAATCCTATATAATAAAGATGTAATATGCAAATTAACCCTCATGTCCTCACAAGATGGCTGCCTATGACCAGTCCAGCAGGGGGGTTAGTTAGGGGCGATCAGGCAGGCAGGCAGGTGAGCGATTAGGAGCCAGTGGTCCAGGATTGTGAGAGGGATGTCCCAGATTGGAGAGGGTGCAGGCTGGGCTGAGGGGACCCCCCCCACACACACACGAATTTCGAGCACCAGGCCTCTAGTATCTACACTAATAAAAGAGAAAACTATGTACTTTGCAAATAAGAAGCTAAACAAAACCCCAGAAAAGGGCTTCCATTCAGCCGGGCTCGGACCGCAACATTGTATCCATGTTGTTTGCAGCGAGGCCTCAGAGCTAAAGCTTGCCCAGAATAAAAAAAAAAAAAAGAGA